TCAACCTTGGCAACTTGAAGATGTCTGGACTTCAAGTTGCCAAGGTTGAGAAACACTGGTCTAGAACAATAATAAAGCAGTCTTTAAAAAAATAAGTCTAACAATTTGAACATTTCATAAGCATTTATAGTTGTTGACTTACTTCCTTGCAGCAAACAGCCTGATTAGCATAAGAAAAAAAATCTGCCTCCCAGCAATTTGCCATGTGGAACAAACAGCTAGTTTCACTTTCAATTTCTGCCGATCATCAGCTGTTAGAGGCTGCAGGGATTGCTATAGCTTATTGAAGCCTCTGCAAGCCCCATTTGCTGCAAAGAGGTAAATTGCTGGGAGGCAGAGGCCAAAGGTGGGGGCCGGTGGGAGGGTGGGGCTACATTCAGTGTATAAGATGCACCCAAATTTTCAACCTCTTTTAGGGGGAAAAGGTGCATCTTATACTCCGAAAAATATGGTAACCAATGGAACAGTTTGCCTTTGGAAGTTATGGGTGCTTCATCACTTTTAAGAAAAGACTGGACAGCCTGAAATGTTATAGGGCCATGATGGCGAACCTATGGCACACATGCCACAGGTGGCACGCAGAGCCATTTGTTAGGACACCTGAGGAGTTGCCCTGTTAGCTGGCCAGCGCGCATGCACACTCGCCAGCTGACTTTGGCCTTCTTTTGAGGCCGTTTTTCGCCCTCCAGAGGCTTCCTTGAAGCCTCCTGAGCACGAAAACCGGCCCTATAGGAAAACAGGAAGTTTGGGAACGGACTTCCTGTTTGTCCATAGGACCGTTTTTCGCCCTCCGGAGCCTTCAGGAGGTTTCCCTGAAGGCTCTGGAGGACGAAAAACAGACCTATGGACAAACTGGAAGTAACTTCTGGTTTGCTCGTAGGGCCGATTTTTGCCCTTCAGAGCCTTCAGGGAAACCTCCTGAAGGCTCCGGAGGGCGAAAAACGGCCCTATGGACAAACAGGAAGTCACAATTCCCAAACTTCCGGCTTCCCCGTAGGTATGTTTTTCACTCTCCGGAACCTTCAGGGTGAAAAGCCTCTGGAGCCTGGGGAGGGTGAAAAAACCATGCCAAAAGCGGGGTGGTGGTGTTGCTGGTTGTGCCCACATGCACACGGCGGGGGGGCATGTGCATAGCATTATGAGTATGGCATGCCTGTGCATGACCCCCCTGCGCTCACCCCACTTTTGGCACGGGAGCCAAAAAAGGTTCACCATCACTGTTACAGGGTCTCCTGCTTGGGGGGGGGGGTTGGACTAGAAGGCCTCCAAGGTCCCTTCCAGCTCTGTTCTGATTGATGACAGAGGGAAGGCTTATATCTTAGAAGGGAGCAATAAAGGTCTGTATTATATCCCAATTTGGATAGCTCTGATCTGATCATATGTGGAAAAATTTTCTCTTTATGTTTTTTTCCTATTTCTATCAGGTCTTTTAGGGGTGGTGAGTCATGCTGGGAAAGAAACGAGGACATTGCCAAAACCAAAGCCACCCCCATCGGCCCCCTCAAGATGTTGCCGTCCCACAGAGGATCGGTTCTCCTAAGACAAGTGATATTAGCCTGGAAGTATTTAACGGCTCTACCCCGGAGCTTAAACACATCCGCAGGCCCAGGCGGGATAGAAGAGCCTACAAAACAGATTCCAACAATTCCCACGGAGGGGAAGGTGAGACCAACACCTTCATCCCTAGACCTGCAGAGAGCCCTCCGCCTCCCTGCTGTCCCAGTCTTTCCCAGGTCTGGAACGCCTCCAGAGCCATCTTCTGCTATGTGATCACCTGTGGGAGCTGCTTCAAGGACTGCCGAGCCAGTATCTCCTACAACAGTGCCTTGACAGAGGATGGGAAGAACCAGGAGTGCAACGGACATTCAACTAACAGTCCGGCCAACATTTCCCCCAATGAAAAGAACGGGAGCCGGACTGAGAAGAGTAACATGGGAAGCAGTTTCAGCTACCCTGATGTGAAATTCAAAGGGATCCCAGTCCCGCTTTATCCAAACCGGAACCCTGGCTCTGCCACAGACTCCGATTCATGTTACAAGGAGCCTTTGCCCGAGAGGTTCTCTCAACACACCATTGAGAAGCAGCCTGCCCCTACCAGCCACCGAAGCTCTGAGGAACATTATTCCTTCCACGAGTCCGACCTTGAGTTTGGGGAGCTGAACAGCTCCATGTCCAGTAGGGAGATCGACGGCCTCATCTTCAGGAAGCTCACCGAGCTTTTCAGCGTCCACCAGATCGACGAGTTGGCCAAGTGCACCTCTGACACGGCCTTCCTGGAGAAGACCAACAAGATCTCGGACCTCATCAATAGCATCACTCAGGACTACAATTTGGATGAGCAGGATGCTGAATGTAGGCTGGTCCGGGGCATCATACGCATCAGCACGCGGAAAAGCAGGGTCCGGCCCCGTGTCCCTGCCCCAAATCTCCCAAGTTCAGGGGAGGTCACCATCCGAGGCCACCCACTACACAGCGGCAATGAAACTATGCTGGCATCTGTCCTCGCCAGTGAAGAAGGTAGGTGTGAATTTCCGTTTTTAGGGTAGAACGTGGTACCAAATGGGGGGAACCAAATACACCACACTTTGGAGTGTCATGTCTAGGGCAGTACTGAGCACAGGTAGTCCTCCTCGACTTACAACAGTTTGACCATTCAAAGTTACAATGGCTCTGGAAAAAGTGACTTGGGACCAGGAGTGGGCTTCAAAAATTTTAGCAAGATGTTCTCTGCCCAGTTGCTGAGTGGGCGTGGCCATGATGCAGCCTAGTCAGCCTCTTTCACCACAGTGGGGGGACGTTTTTGTCCTCCCCAGGCTCTGGGGGCTTTCCTCGAGCCTGCAGGAGGGTGAAAAGAGTGTCCCTAGGCTCCAGATGCCCTCTGGAGGCCGGAAACAGGCCCGTTTCTGGCCTTCCCAAACTTCCGGTAGGCCCGTTTTTCCCCCTCCCCGAGCCTCCACGCGCACCATGCACTTACCTGTATCCAAAACGGGCCGCGTGGGGACTCCGGGGAGGGGAGGGGTGGGCGAGGCCAGTCAGGAGTGGGATTTGGGGGTTCTCTGAACTGCACAAAATCTTAGCTAGAGGTTCTCCCAGATCCCTGCAAACCCCCAACAGCCCACTCCTGCTTGGGACTGTTTTTCACACTTATGACCATTGCAGCATGCCCCTGGTCACATGATCAAAATTCAGATTCGTGACTGTTGCAATGTCCCCGGGGTCATGTGATCACCTTCTGACAATCCAAGTCAATGGAGAAGCAAGTTTTACTTAACAGCCGTGTTACTAACTGAACAACTGCAGGATTCACTTAACAACGGTGGCCAGAAAGGTGGTAAAATGGGGCAGAACTCACTCAGTCTCATGTAGCAACAGAAATTTTGGGCTCGACTGTGGTCGTAAGTCGAGGACTACCTGTATGTGCTATGTGTGAAACACATCTATGTCTTTCTCTTCTATTTCGATCAAATCTCTGTAAGGCATATGAATAGAAAAACCTCTCGGCATAACCTCTCATTAAAAGTGGCATCTTTCAGATGTCCCAAAGGTGCTTTTTTCATGAGGCAACTGGACTTTCTGGTTTTTCTTTGAAGATGTTTCACTTCTCATCCAAGAAGCTTCTCCAGCTCTGACTGGATGATGACTGGATCCTTCCATTCCCTGCCATCCAGTCAGAGCTGAAGAAGCTTCCTTCTTCAAAAGAAAAAAAACAGAAAGTCCAGTTGCCTCCTGAAAAAGCTCCTTTGGGACAAGCATGACCTGGATGACTGAGAATCTCCATAGAAATCCTTCAGTTGTGTCAAGCTGCAACTTCCACTAGACCAGAGGTCTTCAAACTTGGTAACTTTAAGACCTGTGGACTTCAACTCCCAGAATTCTCCAGCTCTGCTGGCTGGAGAATTCTGGGAGTTGAAGTCCACAGGTCTTAAAGTTGCCAAGTTTGGGGAGCCCTGCACTAGACAACCAGCATAGCTGATGAGGAAACTATAGGTTGTCATTTTGGCGATGCCATTTATTTGCAGGGTACCACTTTGAGAGAGGCCAAAAAGGAAGCACATGACTTCAGGGGTGGGGCTAATCATGTGGCCCTCCACATTTCTCATGTCACACCCAGAGTAGTGGGAGTGGAGTGCTGTTTTCTCACTGATCAAGTCAGCACTATCCATTTGAAGCAGGGGTGGTATTCACTTACCTTCCCTACCAGTTTGCAAATGTGAACGCTTGCTTCATTCATATGCGCCCTATCTGTGCATGCACTCAGCCTTCCACGCATTCACTTTGGCTAAAAAAAAGTACCTAAATAGAATGGTATAGAGCTGGGGCCACCCATGATTTCCACTGCCATATATTACCCTGCACACATAACCATTCACAGAATGAGTCTTAGATTTGCCTAGTTTTAAATATAGGTAAAGGTAAAGGTTCCCCTCGCATATATGTGCTAGTCGTTCCCGACTCTAGGGGACGGTGTTCATCTCCCTTTCAAAGCCAGCGCTGTCCGAAGACGTCTCCGTGGTCAGGTGGCCAGCATGACTAAATGCACGGAGTGCTGTTACCTTCCCATCAAAGATGGTCCCTGTTTTTCTACTTGCATTTTTACATCCTTTCGAACTGCTGGGTTGGCAGAAGTTAGGACAAGTAATGGGAGCCCACTCAGTTACGCCGCAATAGGGATTTGAACTGCCGAACTGCCAACCTTTCTGATCGACAAGCTCAGTGTCTTAGCCACTGAGCCACTGCGTCCTTTAGAGCTTTAAATATAGACATTGGTAATTAAAGCTTACTGCCTCAAATTCTAAACAGTATTCATCTCAGCGGAAGGCTGTTCTCTTCTGCGAACAGGATTTTGCATATATCCAAATGAATTACTGCTTGCTTCCCTGGAATGCAAAATACAACCTAGGAGAGCATCAACACTTTTGAGCAGTAACAGCATGTCTGGGCACGCTGCTTTTCCATTTCCCAGGCTGCCACGGTACAAGTATCGTCCTGCTCTTTTCTCACCCCTAGGGCACAGCCTACAGGCTACGGTGCCCAGGCAGAAGCTGGCACAGGATGCCTGGGACCAGGCACTGCCTGCATGGATCAAAATGATTGTTCAGAGAAGCAATGGTGATGGCAGCACTGAGAGGAGGGGATGTTGGGATCCAAAGGTAGGGTAAATGATGGCGGGGGGGGGGGTGCACAGATGGGAATATGGATCTTGAGGAAGATCTTTCATTGGGCCCTCAAGAAAGGACCCTCAAATAAAAACAAGATTCTCTTCTTTCTGGTACCCCAAACAGAAATAGCTATGGAAACCTAGACTCCATATCACAATTTGGAGGGGGGGTGCATTTTGCAACAGAGAATTGAGATGCTGTAGGTCACCCACCTCTCTCAGGACCCTCCTATACAGGACACGGAATGTTCTCAGAGGAAGTCCCAACAGAGTGCAACGTTTCTTCCTCCCAGAGCAACAAGAGATTGAGCTCCAAGGCAAAACAGTGATTTGGGAGAAGGTCCATTTATGGTCCTATGAAACATAATGCAATTGAAAAGAAGGAATGGCATTTGAAGTTACAGGTTTTATTTTTTGCTCTGAAGAGAAATTCCCTTTTGCAAAAATACTTTATTTTATTTATTTTATTATTTGTTTGTTTGTTTATTTATTTATTTTATTCATTTTATTTATTTTATTCATTTTATAATTTATTTTATTTATTTTATATATTTTATGCATTTTATTATATTTATTCATTTATTTTATTATTTATTTTATTATTTATTTTATTATTTATTTTATTA